ATCGTGAGAGAGAGAGAGAGAGATTACATTGCTGCTTAGAAATCGGATATATTTTTGGTAAGAAAGATTTAGGGGATTGACTTTGGAGAGAGGCATAATTTGTTAAGGCTAGGTTTTGAGAATTAGTTATGAAATGGCTAAGATTATAGGCACAACTTTTCTAATTTCAGGTGTAAGGCAAGTCAGATATCAGCTTTGCACTTAAGTCCTTCAGGGATGCCTCAAATCTCCACTCTCATAGGGGAAAATAATATGGTTGGCAGTACGAGGACCTACGGAATAACGAACAGCTCATGGTTGTTGTTGATGAATACATTTCATTCTATTGGATGGAGTAGTTCTGATGATGCCTCTTGGGTATATCTATTAGATCCTCCCTTTGGTGAGGCATATAAGCATCTCAGGATCAAAAGACTGACTTTCTGCTCTTTATGTTTCAAATCCTTTTAACAGTCTTCTAGATTTTTAGCTCGACTTGGCACAAGAGATAGCATGGGTAACATGGAAGGGTGCTTGAAGCCTAAGAGAGATGGCCTTGGCCTGGAATTTGTGTAACATCAATATGGATATGCTACAAGAGAAAAGAGGCTGTGGATTAGAATGATGTTGTTCTTCTCCGTGTATGGTTGAGTGACAGCTATATATTGTTGGAGAAACCTCTTTATGGTCTTAGAGGCCAAGGATAGCTTTGTGGAAGGATAAACAATAATTTATGACGTGGAGCTTACTGAATCTCTGTAACAAGAGGAACTCTTATTGGTTGAAGGAAGTTACTTTTTTTTTATGCTGTTCGAAGTGAAGATGATGGCCCCAAGATAGCCTTGGGGGTTTCAACTGACACACACTTAGACGGAAGGTTCAATTATGAGAAAGAAGTCCAAGATTCACATTATATATTATACTTGGTTGCCCCACATTGGCCTTTATCATACTTGGTTGCCCCATATTTACCTTCACAGATTTGAAGATGACAAAGATGAAGAAGACAACTATATAAGTTCTTATGAAATGTAACTCTCTGTGGTTGTAACAATAATGGAAAAACCAGTATGGCTTATAGGGTCGAGTGACAGAGTAAGGTGATGGTGAATCCTACTAGGGAGGAGTTGTCTTGGTAAGGGTAGGGAACCAAGGCAGCACATGGCGGCATTGGAGCTGAGCTAAAGGCAAGGGAATGAAGCCTTCCTTGATAGCCTGGCATGACATAACTCCAACATGTCCCTAGTTAGGTCAATGTCTAGGGGTTTCATGACTCTAATTCTGGAGGTCCTTACCTCTAAAACCCATGCTCTTTTTTGACGCTATGAATATTTTGCAGTTACAACTTCACTACAGTGTCATCTCTGGAAGCTCCATAATTTGCTGTGAAGTTATGAAAAAACTCATAGTAGATGATGGTCATTGTAGTGAAATGATTGAGAGTGCGGCCTTTTGTTCTTCTAGAGGTTTGAATGCTATTTGACATACAATGCTTTCCTTCTATATGTGTTGGTTGCTTAGTAGGTGTGGGCCTGAAGTGAAAGGTGGCCGTTAGGGTTGCTCATGTGGTTGGATTAAACACCAATATTCCTACCTCCTTTATGTTCCTTTTCATTATGCCTGTGAGTGTTATAAACTCTTTAGAGAGTCATCCTTTCTTTGATCTGATGAGGCCATCAAGCATAAATGCCACCTGGTTGCTTGGAAGAAAGTCTATCAACCTAAACACCTAGCCGCTTTAGGTGTTTGAAGCTTAAGATCCATCAACCTTGCCCTCTTAGACAAGTGGTGGTGGGGCCTTGCTACCCACGCGACCTTCTTTGGCGAGGGGTCATATCTAGCTAGTATGGGACTGACAATTTTGGTTTTTTCACTGCCAACCCAAAGCAAGTTCTTCTAGCATCTATATAAGCATCTAGCCATTCGGAGATAAATTCATGTCTTTCATTCAATTCAAAGCTAATAGAGGTGACGAATTCCCTTTTTGGAAAGATACCTGGGTTGGACATCTGCTTGTACAAGACACTTGGCGAGCCTTTTTCTGGTTACCAACCTTCCTAATGCCATTCCTGTTCAATCATTTGATTGTTTAGACGACAGGGACACCAACCTTAAGAAAACCTCTTTCAGACCTTGAAGCCAAATACCCGTTAAACCTGTTTCACCTGCTTCAATTTGTTTTTATTTTGCCTTCAGTGAACAATAAGAACATTTGGACCAAAATCCAGCCTGGTAGGTCGACTTTTTCTTCCATTGACCAAGCTCTCTCTAGTATTAATCCATATACCCACCCTAACTAAAGCTTGGATCAGCCCCCATACCAAGCTACAAGCCTTCTCCCAGCTAGTCATCTTTAACCATAGTCTTTCAATTGATTAGCTATAAAGGAGAGTGTTAAGATTGAGAGAGAAAAGAGAGAAAGTAAACTCAAACACAGGATAAAGAAAGTATATATGCCTTTTTGCACTATTCGAATCATGGGGCATTGTTACCTATATATACACAGATCCCTATGGGAGTTATAGTCCATTATGCAGACTGTTACATGGCTATTACAGTCCAATATGCAAGATTGTTATATTGTTGTTACATCCCATTATACAATACCCTTACATGCTCTTACAACCATTATGCAAGACCGTTACATGGCTATTACAGTCCATTATGCAAGACTGTTACATTGCTGTTACAGTCCAGTATGCAAGACTCTGACATGGCTGTTACAACTCGATTAGAGGCCTTAGTATGTTTGCCAATTGATTCTCAGATTGAACTAATGGAGTACATATTCTCTTTGAAGTGACCTTTTCTCTGACGAAGTGACAATCGACTTCAATGTGCCTGGTTCTTTCATGATATACAAGATTCAAAGCAATATAATTGCCGCTTAATTATCACAATGTAGAAGAATAGGAGCTGATATATTAACACCCATCTCTTGAAGAAGAGAACGGAGCCAAATCATTTTACACGTAGCACTTGCATTGCTTGATACTTGGCTTCTGCTAAAGATTGAGCTACAACACCCTGCTTCTTACTCTTCTAGGTTACTAAATTATCACCCATTGTCATAAAGTAGCCGCTGGTGGATCTTCGATCAAGAGAACACCTAGTCCGATTCGCATCGCAGAAACCTTGTACATCAAGGTGACCATGACTGCTATAAAGTAGCCCTCTCCCTAGAGCAGATTTTAATTTTTGTAAAATGCGATAATCTCCAAGTGATGGGAGTATGGTGCATGCATAAACTGACTTGCCACACTTATAACATATCTAATCTGGCCTTGTGCCAATCAAATAAATAAGTCTACCCACTAATCTCTGATATACACTAGGATTACTCAAAGGCTCTGACTGCTGATCATACAATGTTTGGTTAACCTCAATTGGATATTATGTTGGTTTGGCTCCAAGCAATCCTGTGTCATCGAAGATCAAGAGTATATTTTGAAACAAAAAAATACCTTAGTGACCTCTATTCCAAGGAAGTATTCAAATTTTCAGTGGACCAAGATCCCTGAATTCAAAAACACCCCCCTTAAAATTTTTCACTTTTTTGAATCTTGTGATGATTATTTCCTATGAGCACTATATCCTCCACATACACTATCAGTATTGTGGTAGAACAAGAATCTCTTTTAAAAAATACAGAATGATCTGAAACACTTCTCCAAATTCGCATTGACAAGTTGCCATACTGAATTTTTCGAACCAAGCCCGAGGTGATTGTTTCAATCCATATATAGATTTTCTCAATTTCCAAACCTTCCCTTTCTCTCACTGAGGATAAAACCCAGGAGGTAATGCCATATATACCTCCTCTTGTAGATCTCCAATAAGAAAAGCATTCTTCACGCCTAATTGGTGAATTGGCCATTTTCTGTTTACTGCAATATATAAAAGTACCCATGTTGATATCGATTTTGCTACAGGAGCCAAAGTCTCCTTATAGTCAACCCCATACAATTGTGTAAAACCCTTAGGCATGAGATGAACTTTGTATTTCTCAATCAAACCATCTAATTTGTGCTTTAGGGTATGCACCCACCTACATCCATCCACATGTTTTTTTGGTCGATCAATTATATCCCTAGTTTATTGCTTCTCTAAGGGAATGATTTCCTCAACCATGGCGGCCTTCCATTGTGGACGAGCCAA